CATAATTGTACTAGCTAGGATCTTCAACTTTACTACGAGTGGTGGTAATGAGTACACTTATCTTGTAATTGATTTGTAGATAATGCCTTTGTTTCCTCATAAAATTGATATATTTGTCCCAATGTTATCTTCAATGATTATGTCAATGTTTTGCCTATAGGTGATGTTCTGGTAAATATTCATGGAATAAAGAAGCCTGAAATAAAAAAAAGAATAATTTGCCAGACACGGTGGCACAGGCCTGTAGTCCCAGCTGCTCAGGAGGATGAGGCAGGAAGATCTCTTGAGACCAGGAGTTTGCGGTTACAGTGTTCTATGAAGATACCATTGAACTCTAGACTGAGCACAGACTGACAGTCTGTATCAAATAAAAGGAAAAAAAATCAGATCTTGCCACCCATGTTTAAAATACTGATTCCCTGGGTCTCAGCCTCAGGAACTGCCTTAGTATATCTGGATGGGGTCCAGAAATCTGCGTTTTCAATTTAATCCCCAGGTGATTTGGTGCAGGTATTTTTTTATGCAAACCTAAAGTGTATAAATTTTTACCATGAAGGGATGGAGAGTCCCAGACAGAAATATTATCAAAGGCACCTTTTAGAAAATTTGGAAACTAGATTATGAGAAGTCTAGACTGAAGTCAAGAAGACATACAGTAAACGGCAGGAATCCGAGCGATATGTAAACGGGCTCCAGAGACCAAGGTCAGGGATGGGTGTGCTTCCTGGTATGCCGTCACAAAAGCTGAGGGTACTTACTTTAAATCTTTCCATTTCTCTTATTTCTTTTTATTTTTTTTGTCTACAAAATAATAAAAATACTACCTACTATGTCATTATCACCAAAAACATAAAATATAATTTCAGATACGAACTACACACTAGTACTGGCACATGACACATTTTTTACGAATGTTCTCCAGTGACAGTGAAGCAGATGTGGAAGGAAGAGCTAAAAGGCGAGACGCAGGAGGCAGACACCATCACGAGGAACCTCGATCAGACGTAACGTAGGAAACGAAGTGGTTAGAATAACACCTGTTGCTGGCTGCTGTTTGGGTTTTGGTTTGGGGGAAGTTACTTTTCACTTTCTAGGGAGGAGATGAATAGTGGGGGACATCAGCAGAGGAGCCTGGGAGGAAAGGTGGTGGGTCCAGTTTCAGACTTACTAAATCTGAGAAGCTTGAGGACGACGTCCGAATAGAAGTTACGATACATCTGGAAGTCAGGAGAGAGGCTGGAATGGAGACCGTTTAGAACGGATCAATGCTAAGTTGAGCCCACGGATTTAGATCATAGTAGCCTGGGAAAGTATATGGAGCGAGAAGCACAAAGAAAGGGCAGCAGTTCTAAAAAGTGCCTACATTGAGAGGCATACGGATGGAAGACATGCCCATAGAGGAGATGGAGGGGAAAGATCAATAAAATGAAGGTTAAGGTAGAAACCGCGGGGATAGTTCACTGAAGGAGACAGTCTCCTTGTCCGTATCAAGAGTGGCAGAGGGGTCATGTAAGAGAGAGGCAGAAAAGCATGTAGTATATTTCCTTGATTACCACAGCCGGCAACAGCTGTGTCAACACCAGTCTGGCCACTTCCTGTGTCCCTATTTTCATGCGACATTTAAATAATCTACATAGAAAATTCTAGGTTTCTTAAGAATCTCAACTTCATAGTGGACGCTATCACACAAACTAGCCACTGTCTATAAAACCCAGGCACACTGAAGTCATAGTTTTATTAATTGGATTCCTTGATGTTTTCCTTGTCTGCATCTGTGGTTAGCTCATCTTCATCTCCTGAATCTTTAGACCACTTTCTACTCAAATGCACGACCTAAAACAATGGGGTTGATGCTGCACCCTTCCAGCTAGAAGAGAAACGTGAACACATTCACCAGGGCTCAGTGTATCTCTCCCTAGTATCCTCCACACGTTGACAGTCACCTCGACAGTCATCGACAACAGTTATGCGTGGGGCACGGGAGCTATTTCAGTAGCGGCCAGGTTACGCCAACTCTAAGGATAGAGATGATCTATCTCTATGTCCCACTGAAACCTTTATCTTCAACTCCATGAATGTCTTTTTCACAGCAAGTCAAAAACTTATACAAAAATGTTAAACAGTAGAAATTGGTAACAGGACACACAAAAAGAGCGTGATGCCTTTTCCAGGGCTGCATCTTCTCGAGTGTGGAAATTTGCTTTCTGCTCACCCGGGAGATGCTTTCTCCCTCCTCCAACTTCAGCCTGTGTCATTCCTTCTGCCTCGAACACTCTTGCCCATGAACATCCAACAACGTGCAAAAAAGTTCTTGGATGTCTTTCATTTACACCTGTGATCTCATTTAATCCTGGGGGCAGTCTTGAGGTTCAAGTATCCCTTTTACTTATTTATGTATTTCTTTATTTAAATTTGCATATTGCTTTTTGAGAGAGAAAGTACGTTACCCAGATCACACAGTTAGGTAGTAGCATACGTGTGTGAACACAGCAGTCTGACCCCAAAATCCAGTACTTTAACCTAGATACTAGGCTCCCTTTTCTTCCTCTAATCTTAAAATGTTTACTTGATCTTTGAGTCTCAGCTTGTCACTTTCCGAAGCTTGGGATCTCCTGTACTAAATCTGTGCCAGTTTTTATCACACAAGATAATTGCTGATTTATCAGCTTGTTTAAAAGGATACACTGTTTCCCTCTTGAGAATAGGGGCTGTGTCATTGAGCTCAATATTGCAAATAAAGAAGCTAAAGTTCCAAAGTTTAAGAGAATTTCACAAGATGCCCTAGCAGAAACAAGATGAAGCTTGGCCCTGAACCCCAGGCCTCTAATTTTTCAACCTCATGCACCTTCCCCTCCTCTATATTATCTTTTAATTAAAGAACACAACAAAAGTCATTTTAAAATAGGAAGCTTCCTATCTCGAAAAAAAAATTCATGAAATCAATATGGAAAAGCATAGTCTTCCTAAGCCATCAAAACAATGAAAATAAATCATGCATGGACTAAGCTGAAGATGAGTAAACTATGTTTCTATTTTTCAGAGGCAAATATTGCATCATTATCAAAATTTGGACTATGCTTATTAGTTTGCTGACATATCAGCCTGAAGGAAGAAAAGAAGAACTACAGTAGGACACATCAGTCCAAGTAAACAAAGATTTTATTTTATGCACTGCTAATTTTAAAAAGTTTTTTTAAATGCTGAACTCTTAAAAAGCATCTGAAAGAGGTAAGCTCAATAAATCACGACGTTGATGACAGCTGAGTGCTCCCCACATACAATTCCTTGATCCAAGTAGGTCAACATTAATCTGCAACAGTCATGCCTAGAAAACGTTATCTATTAGAAACATCACAAACAACGTGGGCCAATTATGAACCCTGTATTTATGCTTTATTAACCTATTAAAATTAAGAATGTTCTAGAAACCTTTCCTCTATGCCTCATGGCATACAAAGCCCACTTCGTGCCATCAGTGAACACGAGTAATTAGAACAGCTGGAGCTTACTGCGATTCCAAAGTGAACACAGTGCAGATACTTAGTACAACTCACATGACAAAGCAATGACCTTAAATGGACGAAATGCAAACGGTTGCTGTTGCTTGGATCATTTCACTTTCTAAAGCTTTCTTTTGTGTGTTCATAATGCTGCCATTTTTGCTTAACTTCATTTGTCTTTATCTCCTTTGTGTCTGTGGTGCTTAGACTAGGGAACAGAGGTGTATCTCATTTAAATCGGCCTGGTCATGGACATTACATACTGCTACCTGGAGACAGATTCACTTCACCATGTTTTGACGATAATTTCTACACAGACTATTTACAAAATAAATTAGAAATAACTTTAATTTTAGATAAATGTATCTAAACAAAAACACATCATAACTTTTTTTCTGAATCTGACTCCCTGAACGCCCTGCCCTACCCAATGGACCTATGCTATGGTCTCTGCAAATGTGACTTACTGTTCACAAATCCCACAGCGAAGCCAGCCTCAAATTCCATAGTCAATTTTAGAGTGGATACCTTTAGCATAAACTATATTAACAATTTCAAATGGGCAGATCAAGTTTTAAAGACTTTATTTGGAAAATTTTTCAATAAATTCATATTTCCTCAAATTTTCATAGAAAATATTTCTCATATCAGTGAAGAATCACTGAGATGTCTGTCTTAGTTGTCTAAAAATTTTTCCTAGGAAAATTTTTAAATTTTTTCTCAAGGCTCGCTGGGACATGTAGGTCTCACTTAGGTAACAGAAATTATTCATATTCCTTACAGTTCTTGTAAATGCTGCCGCTCTCTGCCTAAAAGAAGAATATGCACAAAACCGTCACCCCCATTTTATTTCAGTGATGAGCTGGCAGACAAAAAAAGAGAAGGATTTGATGGTTGGGAATTTTTATGAGCCTCTGAAAAGTTCCAGACTTAGGGGATTTGAACACTGAGAATAAAATTCAGTGGTATAAATCTTTACTCTTTTTCCTATTCTACAGCTAATTTTAACCTCCAAAATTATTTTTGGATGGCTAGGAAGAGAGGAAGAAGAGAAGAAGGGAGGGAGGGAGGGAGGGAGAGAGAGAAAAGAGGGAGGGAGAGTGGAAGGCAGAGAAAGAAAGCAAAAGCTAACAGCAATATCTAAGGGGTGGACTATAGTAAGGCTATGAGCTCACAGTATTCAGTTTCAGGATATCTGGAATTCTTTGTGTCATTTCTATTCCAGTAAAGTGAACAGTATCCCATGAGGAACACTTCACAATTCAAGAAAAGCCTAGGACATATTATATGTTAATCTCTGAAGTCCTTCTGAGTTCCTACTTTTTGACATTACGATGTACTGTTTCATAAAATAATACAAGATTATTATACTTATTACTAACCAAAAGAAATTCCATATTAAAGATAAAGACAGCTATTATTTAGATGAGAAAAAGAGAACTTTTTAAAGGAGCCATCTCACACTGTATTTCCTTAAATCCTTCCTGGCAAAGGCATTACCTGAAATGATACCACAGGAATGACTGTGAAGAGCTGACTTCCCTGGGTCTTTTTCCTCCATCGACCTTTTCTGCCGATACACACGGTGTGGATGACCTGGTATGGCCATTGTATCATTGAGTGGCTCGATAAATATGAAGTCCTCTTTGAGTTGTATGAATCCCATCTGGAATATATAACACAAAAGACGTGTAAAACATACCATTTAAAAACACTTTGTAGGGTCTTCCATTCAAGCATTCTGTGCTCTGCAACAAATGTGCATACAGTCTTCTAGAGAAACTATTTTAGTGACCCCGCTAATAAGGTGACTATCTCCCCATTTTATTACTTCATCTTTATATACTTTATTGCACTAGCATCAACTTCATTTAGTTGGGCTTAGCCTGTGTGGGTGGGAGGCTAGACGCCAGCAACAGATGCATAGTAAAAATTTTGGAATGTTAAAGGCTCATTTTGGGAGACCCATGGGGTCACTTACATGTACAGCATGTACAGAAAGAGCCATGCAGTCTTTAATTGCATACACAACACAGTCCAACTTTTTGACAATCATTATTTAACATATCAAGGCAAATTCAAGAGGCATGGCATTGAAGTTAATACATAAAATATTCTGAAAGTCTTCTACTAAGCATTTTTAAAACCTTTAAAGAATAAATTAGAAAAAGATGAAGCATCACTTTCATAAACAAGTTTCATTTCAACAGGGCTACATTCTGAAAAGTCATCCAGTTGTGAAACAGAGGGTTAGACTGTAAAATATGGTTTTAATCAACAAAAAGAACTTATAACAAGTAGGTATCCTTGAAATATATTAAAGCTAAGCCTGATAATCTCTTTTTTTAATCTTCTAAATTTATAGTTAGAATATAAATTGACATTGTAACTGGAAAGTGCTCTCATGGAAAAATAGGAAATGACTTGATGAAAATTTTTAATTTTTATTATTTAACTCCAGATAATTCATGTATAAAATTGCAGATGTTTGACAATGTCATCTCTTTAGCAAATAGTTTTGAAAAAATAATCCACGAAAACTTGCAGTATTCATACTGAAGCTGCTAATATCGAAGTTCCAAATTCTGTTTTGTATTACTAATAGGTAACTACAATTCACTTAAATTTGATCCACATAGAAGTAGCACAGTAACAAATTTACTTTTTCAGATACAGTAATTCTTCCAAACTAGAAATTAAGAAAAATAAATCTACTCTGAAAAAAATTCATATTTCCTTAAAAGTATACAGGAATTTTTTAAATTTTTGTTTGAATTATTAGTGTATTGCATCTTCTATAGAGAACGGCCAGTTAATTGCCAATATGCTACTTCATTTTATTTAGTACTGAGTGATATTACAAGACATGTTAAAAGTAAATCTCAAAATCCTAATCGATCTCATTTTATTACTAAAAAAAAAAATTCTCAAAAACTATAATAAGCAATTCTGCCACCTCTGTCTCCTATCCCCCATTTTCCCTCCCTTCACTTCTCTCTCTCTCTCTGCTTCACTAGTACCCTCCAGTTTCTCTCTCTCTCTCTCCTCTCCCCCTCAACCCAAAACATTTGGGGATAGGAGATAATATCAAAAATAATTACTCTAGGGCGGCGCCTGTGGCTCAAAGGAGTAGGGCACTGGCCCCATATGCCGGAGGTGGCGGGTTCAAACCCAGCCCCGGCTAAAAACTGCAAAAAAAAAAAAAATAATAATAATAATTACTCTAAGGACCCTTCAGAAATATTTGTCATGAAAGAATTAAAAAATATATTTGTCATGTATGTTTGGGCCAAATATTTTTGTGTTGTTTTAATATATCTTCAAACACAGTCTTTTATTTTCCATACACATTTTACTTCTCTCACGTCTAAAACGAGCTTGAATTATAAGTACATCAAGTCCAGTAATTTTTCCCTTGAGCTTAATCTGATAAGAAACATGAGAAAAGTAAAAATAAGAAATAGTAAATAATAGCCATTAAAGATGTAGTTCATCTACACAAGGACTAAGAACAGGTGGTGTCCCATCATACGTCATAGATCCTGGTTGGGAAAAGACAGAAAGATGTTATTCTTATACATGAACCTTGATGTTCACAAAGTATTACAGGCCACTAATAAAACCGACAGTGTGGCTGATGATTAAAATAATAATTATGCTATTTGGTCAGAACACGGTCAGTTTACCTAAATCATAGATTTGCTATCTATATATGCTTTTAACAGGTTATAAACATGCTTAGATTTATAGCAGTAAACCTTATAAATTTTTTTAAACCTTACAAAATGTAATTGAGTGCTATCACATAAAATTGAATGACTCCTAGAAGAGAATCTGAACTTAGATTACTTGGGTTCGTAACTTACTGCTAGCCACATACAGTGTCCATCCCCAAACTCTCCATACATACAAACAGAAAACTGTAGTTAAAGTACCCTGCGTACGCTGATGCTTGTGATAGCCCATATAGGAAAGTTGCGGTCTTTTTATCTACCCAATTACTACATAGGGTTATTGGAAGGATAATATTTTTTAAAAAACACATGGAACGATTTTATCATGGGGTCTGAAAGTGAGCTGCTACTCCATGGAGGTTCTCTGTTATTTTTACTTTGATAGTAAGAATAACCCCAAGCGCCCAAGGATTTGCCTATAGACTGGAAAACTAAACAAGTCCAAAGAGTCAAAGTTTATTAAGATTTGTAGCCTCCTATTGGCACATTTAATATTGTCTGAAATAAATACTTTGTTGTGTTTAGTTTAATTTGGTTAAGATTTGGAAGCTTCCTCATAACATAATGTTATTTGTTGCAGAAGAATTTATATCTACAGACATTTTTAAAAATGAGAAAGCCACTTTTCCAAAGGAAAAATAAGGTTGGCATAATTATGAATGATGACTCATTCATTCAATGCTCATTTACGGTCTGACTGCTGTGTGCCAGACTTAGGTCACGCTGGGCATATTTAGCACCAAGCATCACCATGCAGACTTTCTATTTGACCTTACGATACCACCCTATGGGACGCGACATGCTCCGGCGAGGGGAGCCATTCAAAATGCTGGCTTGAATGAAAGCAGAATTGCAAAAAATCTTCAGCTTTTCTGTGTTCCTACAAAGGGCTCACTTCTTCCATTAACAAAATAAGTCGTTTTATCTGCACTGTCACTTTACAAGCCGTGGAAGAACAGAAACCCATATTAACCTCTCTGCAAAAGGGCCCCTGTGTTGGACAAATGACAATCAAGCTGCATTTGCTTTTGTGCAAATACTGTCTCCTTGATTTGAGAAGGAAAAAAAAAGTACATGAATTGATGTGGCATAATAGGAAGTCGGAAAATTGAGCTCATGAACTCATCCTAGAAAAAGCGCCACATACCCCATTCTGAATATCCCCATGGTCACCTTCAAAGTACTCCGCTTGGGAAGCTGTGCATCAACACCAGTGCATAGTCCACCCTTCAAAGCAATTTGGGGGCTCTTTTTCTGGAATGGCCGTCAGAGCTGTAGAGTAGGAGGTCTGACAATTAAGTTCACGAACTCGTTCTAGGAAAAGTGCTTGCGAGAATAACAAGGTATCAGTGCATGGCTTTCCAAGGGGAGTACGTTGAAGGTGACCAGAGTGATACTCAGCAATGAAGTATGTAGCAGCTATACAAGAAGAATAAATTTCAGACTTACTGCACAACATGGTAACTGTAATTAAAAACGATGCCGTGTATACTTGAAAATTGCCGAGACAATAGGTTTTAAATGTTCTTATCAGAGAAAAAATGACAGATACGTTAGGCAAGAGACACATTAATCAGCTTGACTTAACTTTCCACAGTGTATTTATACATCAACACTTTGTTTTATGTATCATAGACAGGTACAACTTTTTCACTTAAAATAATTTCAAAACATATAGCTCATCACAAGAAGTAAATGTAGTAAACGCTAAAGTGACAGATCATTAAAACTTCAGAATACGAGAAAAGTCTTGAGGGACAGCTGGATTTGTCTAAGACTAGGGCAAGGATGTATCTTATGAGAGGAGGCCTGATGAGCAGGGGCAAAGAGGATGGCAGCCTTCCATTTTAAAAGATGCTTGGTGTGAGCAGAGAAATGGGAGGATGTAGCATAAACATAAAATGAACCCAAATAGTTGAAAAAAATCTAATGGCAATTTTCTTGATGGGAAAACGAAACCAGGTCTTGAATATCTTAGTATAATACATAAGGTGTACTATGTTTCAGGGTTCTATTTGTAAACGGTAAAACCAAAGCTGCTAAAAGGATCTGTCATCAGTACCTACTTGTAAAAATAGGTTAGACCAATGTCTGATGCCCTGCAGGATCTGAATTTGTGTGTTTGTCTTTAACATTTTCTTGTATGGTAGTGTTTATCATTAAGTAAAGAAAGGGCTATGCAGCTTCAAATGTAAGCATAACATTGGACTTAGCAAACATTATAACGACCTATGTTTGTTTTATGCTTTACTCCATAAACTATCATTTCAATATCACAGTGAACAGGAGTGATCTCGCGTGCAAGTTAAATTTTGGTTTTAGCACATCTTTCTGTATTTACTTGCTACCTATATTTCACTTACATTTGTAACTACCTTCTAGCCTCCCTTCCCTCCACCCCGAAAACCCCCCAAATTGTTCTGAGGCCACCCACCTCTTTTTTTGTTTCCTGTTTTCTACGGCATTGCATCTTGGACCCCTTTTCTCCTCTGTGCGTTTGCGTTGCCCTGGCCTTGGCTTCTCTAGAAACTATTTGTTTCCTTCACCAGATCATTCTGCATTTCCAAGGCTGGTGTTGGGTCAGAAATGATTCTCTGCGTGCTGCTTTCAAGGGCCTGGTAAACCCCTCTCCAGAAATGACTCCCAATCCCCCTGGCAGCCCGCGGCTCCCCTCCCGATCATTCTCCTCACCTCTCATTCCCACGGTCTCACCTCATTCCATTCTCTCCAAACTAGTGCCTCCTGCTTTTGTATGTCTGTTTACAGCTCTACCATCTTTTTAGTTATCCAGGCTAAAAATTACATTGTCCTTTACTTGTTCTTTTTCAAATTTGAAAGTATTTATAAAGCAAACAATGAGATGATAATTTGCCCGGATGCCAGGCATTTTACGTGCATCATTTCATTTAATTTACACACCAACCTTGAGACA